ATATATATATATAATCCATCAATTTAAGCAATTATAAAACGAAAGAAGTAAAAGAAAAAGCAAAAGAAAATGGCAACAGTTCAAATTAAGAAACTAATTCAGAATCAAAGAAAACACGCGCTATAGTAAAAAAGATGCAAAGCAATATGAACTTACATGAATGATCTTGTTCGGCTTCAGCGATATAGCGAAGAGCTTTGTCAGGTGCCCAGTGAATACATTCAACAACGTGTTCGTGATCGTAGAACTGTATCTTACATTCTTTTGATAATGTATTCCATATGCAAATTGTCTACAAAAATTTTTTTCACAACAAGCATATAATAAGACAAACATAGGATTAAAGCATGTACAGCATTAATTACCTAAGTGCAGGTTTTTACGACAAAGGCTCCAAATTTAACCTTGTAAAAAATCCATTTTGCTAAAAAATAAGAATTACCTGATCATTACTACAGGATGCAAATATATTTCCGTCGTGATGCACACGTACCATGCGTACCCATTCATTGTGGCCAGCAAATGTTCGGACGCAGTAACCCGTTGCTACTTCCCACATTTTCACTAAATGATCTCGTGAAGCAGATAGTAAATGATCACCTGAAAAAAGTAATTAAATTAATTTCATCAAATTTTTTCCTATGAAAAAAATTTTTATGTTCATTTGCATTTCGCATCCTTTTAAATACAATTGCATTACGAATAGGAGAGCGATAAATGCTGCAGGATCCTTTGAATTGAATGACCAAATTTAACTTGACTCACAGTACTGACATGGCATTTCCTTACTTTATTTATCCCATTAAAGAAATATGGGATTCATATAAAACGAAAACATGAAATATAGTAAGGATAAGGTTCTCTCACAAAGAACAATTGCAAACGCGAAAAAGTTACATCTCTCTTCTAATATTTCGAATAGACAACCGAACGAACTTTAAAAGCCATAACATATTGCATTTAAATGTAGAAGTTTAATTCAGCTTAATTAAAAAATAAATAAGAATACCAGAAGGCAAAAATGCAAGTGACGAAATATTATGATCGTGTCCTTTAAGTGTTTTCATACAATCAAATGTTTGTACAAATTCCCATATTTTGATTGTCATGTCGGCAGAACATGATGCTAAAACAAGAATTCGGTAATCGATCCTTAATTCTCACAATACATGCAATAATTCTTTAAAAATTCTTTATATTAAAGGATTTAAAATTTTATATAAAAGATAAATTGGTAAATCAGTTCGAAGTAAAAAAAAACTGGCTTGATCATGTTTCTGTGTTCATGTAAAAATAAAAACATGATTGATTTTTGGGTAGTGAAAGGTATCAATATTTCCCCAAATTATTAAATTTTGAACCAAAACATGTCAGTGTTATGATAATCTTATCATCGCCAAAAAGCAATTTTATGGTGTATTTTATTTAAATTACAAACAAATAACTGAAGACTCACCTAACAATTTCCCGCTATTATCGAATGTAAGGTCCTGTACGGCATCAGTGTGTCCTTTTAATGACCGCTCGAAATCACCCGTCTCGAAATCCCAAACCTGTAAAAAGTTGGCCCAATTTTAATCACTTCGACGGAACACAACACAATAATATATTACAAATAAAATACGCATAAATCTAGAAGGTATATTTAACTTCAATAGCGACAAAAAAAATAAGTTATACAAAAGGAAGGAAGTAAGTCAACACTTACCTTAATTGTTGAATCTTCGCTCGAGGATGCAATTATGCTGTACACAGGATGAAATATAACTCGGGTGATCGGTGAACGATGACCACCTAAGCAAAATTTTTCAGGCGGCCGTGGAATCCATTCGCCTGGTTGTCGTTTTTCCCTGTATGTAATAATTTTTTTTGCAAAAAAAAGTATTACGGAAGACAAAATCCTAATCCTAATCAAGTAAAACAATTGCAAATAT